AAGTTTGCTATTGCCTTATCTACAGTTGAAGTAATCGTCTTTGTTCCTGCCGCTCTTTATCTTTGTGACGTCTAATTTCTTTTTCATAGTCAGTCTCAAATAATCTATGCCTTGTTTTACAAGCCCGATCCTTTTGCTTACGTAGTGAAGTTTCTTTATTAGTCTGCAACTTACGACGTTTAGAGGCTGACTCTGCATCTCTTTTCTTTCTCTCTAACAAAGCTTCTTCACTTTCGTTAGCCCTTTTTTTATTTTGACTAGCTAAATTATTCTTTTTTCTCTGTAATACTTGCTCTTCTGTTTGAAGAGCTAGTCGTTTCCTTTGTGAAGCTAAATTAGACATTTTTCTAGTTAATGCCTGCTCTTCTGTTTGAAGAGCTAGTCGTTTCTTTTGTGAAGCTAAATTAGACATTTTTCTAGTTAATGCCTGCTCTTCTGTTTCTGAAATTTTTTTCAAGGTTTTTGCTAATCTATCAGATTTACGATACTCTTCTCGTTCCTCTGGGGTTTCCAAGGCTCTTTTAGTGGCAATTCTATGTTTATGTTGTTGTCTTTTTTCAATACCTTGCTGTTCTTGCATATCTAATAGACTAGGCCCACAACTTTTTTTATTAATACAGGATGCAGTAGACACACATGCAACTTTTGACTTACGAAATATATGGCCACAATTACAAGCTAACTTTCTAATGTGAACTAAAACAAAGCATTTAGGGCAGGCTCTTGTTGTTGTAGGTCCAGGGTTAACCTCAATGTCTCCAGAAAGGAGAATGAGATCAAAGTGAAACATCAACAAAATAGAAGACACACATACTAAAAAGCTCAAATTATGACAAACAGGCAGGGCAAATTTACAATGAACGCATACTTTAGACAATGTAACCACAAGCCCAAGGAAAGACAAAACACAAATCAATGGGAACATTAACAGGAAAATAATTAAGACAGCAAAAGTATCATTACTATAGGAATCATGCTTTTGACTGCATTTGAAAGAAGTACATGTACCAAACCTGTTACTCCTGAAGCAGCCAATAGCAGCTCTCCAAGCTTCAATGGACAGCATGGTGATGATGATTCCTATTGATGGAGGTCACTGGCTTACAATGACAGTAAGTGAAATGCGGCAAAAAGTGAACTCTTCCTGACCTGATTACACAAATCAAACATAATAAACATGCAACCTATACGACTTACAGTAAATAACAGAAATGTTGAAGTTATCAGTGATAGCTCCTAATGACAAATAAAATATATGTCATATATATGAGGTGAAATAAACTTACAGAAAGTGACTGAACTGAAAGTAGAAATTAGAAAATATAACTGATACAGTAGCTCCTAATTACAAATAAATGCAATATGGTGTTAAATTTAACACTTACAGTTCAAAAGTAAAGGATAATGAAGTAATTCAAGTAAATAAGGGCTCAAGCACTCAACAATCACCTGATGGGGATGGGAATATTACAAACCACACCCATTTTCATAGTCATATGCATCATCACTACATTATTAATAATTAATGGCAGCAAGAAGGCCATGTGAGGAAGAAGCTTAACTTTTTGTTTACTAATCAGCAATATACGATCAACTTACTGACAGAAAGTTGTTGCCTTTATGTAGTTGAGATAGTATGGGTACTTTTTAGTGCCTATAGTGATATAGGTGTCGCTCTGAGCACTTCACAAACTCGCCACCTGCCCACATTCGAGCAAGTATAACTCTTCATCAAGTAAGATTTAGAAAAATCTGTTCATATTTTTTGAAGGCCATGTTCTAATCTACTAAAAAAATGCTACCAGCTATCTCTAAAGTGCCAACACAACGGAACTTGGCTCAACTACTCGATTTTCTTACTTTGAAGCTTCTGTACCTAGCACTTGTATTTGAGCAACACAGGACAGTTAAGAAAGACTTTTCCAAGTCAAAAAGAAAGATCTAGGAGCTTAGAACACGCTGTGCTAAAGTTATTGTTTATTAAAGACAAATTTCAGTTGTACAGAATGAATGAATGACAGACAGACAGACACAACAACTACCTATACCTCGCGTAGGCGAGGCCTCGCGTAGGCGAGGCCAAAAATGCTAATAAAAATTGTGAATTATGTAACCCTCCCTTATAATCAGAAGGAGTCCAAATTGTTGCACTTAAAGTACCATGATTCTGAAAAATGACAAACATCATTAATAATAGTAGAGTTTAATTAATCCTCGCAAAATTGGGCCAATATTTTGCCTCCCATTTTTTATAAGTCAAAATCTTTCAATTAAAAGCTAAGAAATTTCAGGAGACTAAAACTTGTGTAGGTTATGACCATAGGGGTAAGAACAGGGGCTAAAACCCCCTACCCAAATTTTTTTAAGTTGGGCTTAGCCTTCCAGCTTTAACAAGCAAGATACACATGAAAGACATAAACAGACATTCAATGGGTATTTAATGTGTTATTTTTACAGATGTATTAATATGATTTAAGCCCCTAAATTTCAAATTGCTTAATAGTTCTTAAATGGGACTTACATAATTAATGCATTATAATTCATAGTCAATGCTAGAGTAACTCCTGACTGTAATAATTAACACTCACTGTCCCTCGCTCTATTTTGTCTCTCCTTCTCACTCTCTCTCTCTCTCCCTCTCTCTCTCTCTCCTTTATAGT